TTTAGAGTCCATCTTTGCAATTTTTTTCTATCAAGTCAATTACTTTTAGGTTACTGTTTATAGCAAGCAATCGATAATATGTTTGATTTTATTAAAAAATACATTTTCTTAATACAAATACAAAAACGAAATCTCCTGTTATAATATATATACCTATATATTTAATATTTTTAGGCTTATCTATTATATAAAAATATCAGTATCATAAAAAGCATGAATAATTATTTTACCAAAAAACATCAACTAAGAAGCCAGCTTTAAGCAACATCATACATAATATACAGTCAGTCATGTTTACTTGGGCAGCAGACTATCATCATCCTATCACCTTCCCAGGATCTTAAACTAGGCAAATACCATTTTTTATCGACATAGGTCTAAAAACAAATTCTATAGTATAGGTCTATAAAAATTCAAAAAATCCGTTCTTAGTACACCTAACGTAATAAGAGGAATTTCACCTCAATATTACAAGTCTCTACAACCAGCGGTTTAGGCTGTGCGTATCTGTCAGGACATCTTTTTAATCGACTTCAAAACCCAAAAGGAGGAGGTTCATATGTTCGACGGCGATTATATTTATACTTATGTTCAGCGATATTTCCGCCATTTGATGACCGATTTTTTAAAATATTTTTATTCGACAACTTAATGCATCGAAGAAGTGCCATTTGAATTTTATCGAACTAGAATCAGTGGTGTTCCTAAATATATGGAAAGTATTATGTTTCTCGACTAAAAGATGGGAAGGAGGATTTTCTATAATCAAGAAGTATGTACCTATATTTTTTTATGATAGTGGGTATATCAATCGATTTCTTCTTGAATTGTGAACTAATTTACTTTTATTTATCACTAAAAAACTTTTTTTTAAATAAGTCTTTTTTGACATAAGCATTATTTATCATTTTTTTTAGTTTGAAGTTGGTTCTAATTTTTAAATAGTTTTTATATATATGTTAAGATATAGATATTTGGAAGCGTATAATATCGAAGCAAATGTAAGATCGCGAAATTTGCATTTTGTTAACGAACGTCAAACTTATTTCATAAACAAACCTTTCCCTTATACCTTTTAAGGACCACTCGAAGCTAATTAGTTACCGGGGGCTTCGATTGGCTCTTATAAGTATAAAAATAAGACTAGATTAAGACTGTACCTTTATATGGTGTTTGTTGGTTTGTTTTTACTCAGTGCGATGGAGCGCAACATTAAGCATCATAGTGGCCACGCAGGCAAATTTTTGTACATCACTAAATTTAAATAAAAAAGTGTGTTGCAAAAAGAAACTTTAAAACTTTATTTATACTTAAACTCAATCATCAAAATTGCATGTTCATCAAAATTGTATTGAAGAAAGTTAATATACTAACAACTTACACAAAATATCCGCCTGGCTTCAATAGAGACATGTGGAAAAAATATGATAGGTTATTACTTTGACGTTTTTACTGTCAGCTACATTAGATGAAGGCCTTTTTTATTAATAATAGTAATAAATCCGCTATAGAAATTGCTCAGTCCTATTCGTCAGTCCTGTTGAGTCTCGGGTAGCTCAATGGTTAGAGAAGTCGCCAGATTGCGAAAGGTTGTGGGTTCCAGTACCATCTCGGGGTACTCGGGGCTATTTAGTAGAATTTTTTGCGTTTTTCATTCAAGATTTCTATAAATCGGAAGCTAAGATTTCTATAATTTTTCTTTAATTTGCACAATTGCCACAAAATAGTCATAATCATGTTTATGTATAAAAACATAGGAACCATCAATAATACCATATAATACTACCTAACCTCGCCAGCGGCTTCGCCCGCGTGGACCCTAGGGAAATATTAAGTGGGATAAAAAGTATCCTATTATCTAAGTCAGCTAATCCCTATCTGTATACCAAATTTCATCAAAATCCGTTCAGTAGTTTCGGCGTGATTGACCGACAAACATCCAAACATCTAAACAAAGAAACTTTCACATATAGAATATTAATAGGATAAAAGGATACTGACATTTTCGTAATGTTGTCACTTATCTAAATTAAAAACAAATTTCCTAACGTTTACTTCATCATAAATTATATAGATAAATAACATCTCAAAAAATTTATAGGTACATAGCCAATACATTATATACTACTTAATTATGTTTTTTTTTTCAATTTGGTATCCAGGCAATTTAAAACTAATATAGATAAAAATTAAATAGGTACACTCTTGAAGAAAATATAATGAGATATCAATATGCGTGAGGCGCCATCCTACTTATGTAATTGCAAATGTCAATTTTTTTAAAAATAGTATAGAAGTTGTTTGCGAGGTTTCATCAAATTAAACCTATAAGAAAAGTTAATAAAGGTTTTATTTTATTGAAGCTCTATGCTGTGCCGGCGTAAAGCTCGACCGTCGAGTTCCAAGCTGTTTTTATAAGAAAATAACACTTTTACTTTATGGCCCGATCGTCTATGTCTCTAACTTTAGCATTGAATTAGTCAATGCTAAAGTTAGAGAGATCGTTTTATTAATTTTTATTTCTAGATTTCCTGTATTGTAATATAAACCTTCCTCTTGAAGCACTCTCATATTTATGATGATGACGTTATGTACTTAGGTCAAAAGATCTCAGCGTACAGATGGCGGGAAACGACTTTGTTTTAAACTATATATTTATCAATAATTTTGGTGCATTTTAGTTTAAGCAATATGTCCTCCTACATTTGTTTGTCTTATTTCGACTTTTTATCATATTTTACTTTCATCAAACATAATTAAAAAAAACGAAACAGATGTAAATTGACAACTAAATGTACATAAATAAAGAAAAAACATTTCTTTAATATAAGAATCACCCATTGTTAAAAACAGAACTACTTTTAAATAAGATGAACATTATGGTATAATCTTAAATTTTATTTATTATTTTTGATGAGTAATTTCTAAATTGACGCGTAGAAGTTCTGGGTAATTTAGAAAAAAAAATACTCCCAAAGTATGAGAGTTATTTTTATTTATAAGTATTTGATAAGAAAAATAACAATTTACTGCATTATACATTAATTTTGACTTCGTAACTTACCTATTCCATTGGGCTATCTTTAAAATTATAAAAAGGAAATATTTGATTGTTTGTTTGCATTGGATAAACACCGTAACTAATGATCGATTTTAAAATTTCTTTAACCAGCCGGAATCTTCATTATACGGTTTCTTTTACGTGGTATTCGCGGGAAAACGATATTTTGAAAGTCATCTAGATTTATAAGTACTTTGAAACTTTTGGTCGTCAGTTTATAACACATATATCATTTAGAATACGGTTACAATCCGAATAAAAGCCTAGCGACAGATTTTTAATCGATGAAACGACTAAATTAACTATATCAGTTAATTTAGTCGTTTCATCGATTAAAAATCTATGAATCTATGACTATTTCAATAAAGGTTCAAAATACATTATTTATATTACATACTTCATCATAAACAAATATGTGACACACTAAGTAAATAATCTGTGTTTTTTTGATGTTATGATTATGATAACATAATTTCATTTATTTTTTGTTTCTAGGAAATTTTCGGAGTTCCAAATAAAATATTTACCGCCTTCGCACTTCAATATAAAATGAGGGAGAGAATATTTTCGGTAATTTCGTGTTACCTATTTGATGAAAAAAACACCGCTTATTGAAATATGTACAATTTAAACCTATTAGTGGTTTATTTAAAAGGATTATTTTAACGAACATAAATAGTAATTAAGCGTTTTCCTTACCTATATTTTATGTATGTGCAAAATATAACTTACTTATTATTACGTAATTAACTTTGCCATATATAAATTCTTTAACAAAAGAATCCCTCAAATTTTCATTTGTCAAGGCCACGGAATGATTTAACCATAAAAGGCTTGATTAGTTTAAACACCACATGTCTACATTCCATCTTATATTATACATAGTTTTTTTTAATAAATTAAGTAACTGAAAGATACACTTTAATAACATTATCAAATTGAAGGTAAAAAAATCTTTTGCCCAATGACCAGAAATATAAAAATTGACAACGTAACAATAAAAAAAAAGAAACAAAAAGATATCCTACATACAGACTTTTGGTATTCCGATATGATTAAAAAATTAACTCATACATAAGTCATAAATAACGTACATTTTCTCTAGTCTAGAGAACCGATAATTTTGATACTTTATTTTTATCAAAACTAGAGAATATGAAATGTGCATATTACATCTAACGTGCTTCTGTGTAACATGAGATTTGCTACGCAAATAGGTTTATTATTAACTCATGAACATAAAAAAAATATTATACCTACCTACTTAACTCATACAAAACGCAGTCATATTTACATACATTCTAGCAATACATATTTAAGAAAGTTTTACAATTTTCACCGAATGTAGGTACGTACTCTTCTGTACTTTTAGTACTTTATAAACTTATCCTATAACAAATAAAAACTTAAACATTTTATTTGGTTTGATTAAGCCTTTTTAAACTTAAAATAAATTGAGATTTTTTATACCTCAATAGCATCGTGATTGAACCACCATTCATAAAAATTAACAAACTTAACTGTAGTTATCTAATTAAGTATAAAGTTAACGATATTAACTACGGTATCGCAAAAGAAATTATACAAGCACATTATTGATAATGGCACAAGAAAACAGTAATGTAGCCAACATTGATCAATGTTTTTTTTATTATTATTCCCTGGTTTTCGAACACCGACTGTTGTCGTTTTACTTCAAACTAAAAACACGGAACATCGCGTTAAGAAGATATATAAAGCTGAATTAAAAAAATTACAAAGATTATTAAATCATCGTTATAATAGAAGCATTATTTTTAACTGCCAAACTGAAATATAGATTCTTAAACTTTTAAAAAGTCATTATTAAACTAACAGGTAATTTTAGAAACAAGAAGAACAATACAGACACATCGCATTGCGCATTATTAAATAATATAAATTACGGTTGCAAGAATAGTAAATGTATTCGCTTGTTAGCAAAGAGCTGTGCAATGTGATATGTCCTCTTACCTGGCATCAAGAGGTTTATAAAAGCCACTTCGTGGAAAATCAGCTTTGCGCTACGATAACAAACAACAAGTGTGCATATTTACAATAGTATTTTCAACTTGATGTATTAATTAAGAGAATACACATTATTTCAGTCTTTATATATATGAAAAAAATTAAAATAAAACTAACCTTACTCATAAATAAAATGCACTATTGAGCTTTTACTGCCTTAGTATTCTGCTTTTTAGGATATTCTCTTTCGATTTTAAGCTGGCTGTGGGCGTCGCGTGTGTGTTCTCATATGCCTAGTGATCATATCTCGGCGGCAAGCGGCATATGGACAAGACGGACAACGATAAGGCTTCTCTCCGGTATGGGTCCTCTGATGGGTCGCCAAATGGTCAGAGCGCGAGAACACTTGACCGCAAGATGAACATGAATATGGTTTAACACCGCTGTGTAGACGAGCGTGTCGGGTAAGCATATCAGAACGGGCGAATCGTCGGCGACATATTTCACATTCGTATGCTCGGGCAGCTTCTGGAGTTCGATTTCTATGTCGCGATGCTACATGTTTGGCGAGGCGATCGTGTACAGTAAAAGTCTGGCCGCACGTTGCACACGCGTATGCCGGCTGCTCTGTCTCCTGGGGTGCCTGAGTCGGTTCCGATTTGACTGAAAGGTCTAACGGCAACTCTTCTTCGGGCGCCTTGCTAGGCTCGTAATATGGAGAGTCGACCATGAGCCAGCGCGGTGATGGATAATTGTTGTTGTTTCGCAGCTGTACCGCAAGTTTGTCTAGCAGTTGGGACAGTCGTCGTCGTTTATGAAGATGCCGGGGACTCTGTGGCACTGACACTTCCGCCATGTTACCGATGCAGTTGCTGCTGGTCTCCCCGTGCCCCTCCACTTTGATAGTAGGCCTCCAACCTGAACAAACATTGTTCATTGTTAAACCTAATATTATTCAACTTTAGCTCTGCTACCCAAAATTAATAATCTCTACCTAAAGAATACTGCAGCGTGTTATTTTTTTTTACTTCTAAAAACTATCTGTTTAGTTCGGATAATCATGGCGTATTGAAAGCAGGTGATAATTTGGCCTACCTTATTGCTGATCTAAAAGGACGACACATAAGCAAATGTCAATAGTACGTTGCACCTTTGGCGCATCTGTCCTTTGACAATTATGAGTGAATCTTATCCATAACACGTGATTGGTAAATCGAGGGTGGTTTTGAGCCAATGAGAAGTCTTCTTCATCAATCAAAGGGATCCCCTAAAGCTTTAAGGTACATATTGTGTGGGTATTGCTTTAGAATTTTTCATAGTAGGTAGGCGCTTATATAATAGACGATACTTAAGAGGCGTTACCGATAGCTCGCCAACGTACGTTCGTACAATATAAGCCTGCTTTTATTCTTCTCGCATGAATAAAGTAACTAAAAAAAATGTTGGGCGGTGGTAAAGAACAAGTCAAATGTACATTTAGAGATACTATAGAAGATATTTGTAAACATGTTTTGTAAATACCTATGTAATATTTATAATTACAATAAGTATTTGAATATATTAATTGTAATAACAAATATTTTGTATGCAGTTTGCATGCATGCTTCTCTAATAAAACTTATTGTAATAAAGTCTCATACCTATTTAAGTTACTATAGTTAAATATTACACGGATTATGTCACTCATGTAAAAGAACAATGAAGTAATTACAAAAATAAAATAAGAAAAAATTACCTTCGGGCAGAGGAATAAATTTTATAGTGCCTTTGGATATTGTATGCATGTCCAATATAAGAAAAATAGAAAAATGTATTCATATTTACTCATTGCATAATCATAATATGAACAAATTACATAATCATAATGTCACTTTTTGGAAGGAAACATGCCTATTATACTATCCAAGTAAACTATATTTCAACATTAATCTAAAAGAAATTGGAAATTTTTCCTGCGGAAAATTCAGTAGACAAACTATTGGACGTAAGTAAATTACACATCTACCCGCAATTTTCTACAATAATGTAGCATAGGTATTAAAGGTAACTAGTGATAAATATCTCATACTAAAGCATCTGTTTGTGACACCGTATACAAACCTCTTTATCGTTATTCAATACAACAAAGTACAATATGTATCCTACCTATTGAAAGGATATTCCTAAATAAAGTATAAACACCATGATACCACGTTAAATAATATTTTTTATTGAAGACAATAGTAATAATAAAATGATATAACGTTATTCTGTTCTTCCTAATATTTTTATAAATTTGTCTATATGTAAAGTCAAATGTATTGACAGTATAATTTTCATAGTAAGCATAATATAGAACCTTATTATATTTCCATGCGTTATCAAAGTTCTTAGCTAGAGGTTGCAGTGTACTATCAATAAGTTTTAAATAACACGTTATTTTTACTTATTACGACCTACTAACCATATTTGTAATAATTGTTATAGATAATAATGAGATAAAGAAAAAATATTTAGGTTTATTTCATTGATAAATCAAGATTCGGGGAATTTCGAAAATAATTAATAATTATTTTTAATTAATAAAATTAAATAAATCTTATTTTCCATTTTCAATTACTAAATTTAAGCAGAACGATTAGGAACTTTTATACATACATATTTCAGAATGGCTCTATTGAATATTCCAGGCGTAAAGATAAGATGCATTTATCCACGACCGGATCACATCACAAACACTTCGAATTTATCCGTTGTATACGATAAAAGTTTTGTCTAAAGCATATCTGTGATGCTCTTAGTTTTAGCACGAGAACCGAGGTGCGTAGTGAACGGTACGTAAGGTCGGCGGGTCGGGCGTGCGACCGTCGACCGGTCCCACCGCCCCCGCACCTTGCTTTGGTAACATTAGACATTCACACACGACCCATCAACTTTATGGTATAAATGCGCCACGTGTGTCGCGTTTCGTTCGTCGCGACCAACTGACTGGACTGGAGTGGAATCGGCGTACTCGCCTCCGCACCTGCGCTTGCGACTCGAATGCGATCAAACACATACGTTGCATATTCTCGTTGCATACACGCCTGCAGAGGGCACACTCACCCCGATACTTTTCATCGTCTCATCGTTATTTTTGGTTGCTAAGTAGTTAGGTATTTCTGATAATAAAGCCCTAGTCTATACTTCTACCTACTTATCACTAGATGTTGTAAAACGCAAAACCAATAGTGTGGTTTATGGGAAAAGATTCGCTAAAAAACAAAAAATAGCATCAATAGTCATTTAACCAATATGATATTAAAAAGAAAATTTATAGTTGATGTATGTAATAGAGGAGGGCTGCCCTAAGTAAATATATAGGATAAAAAATATGACAAAATGGGTGCCTAACGTCAAGAAACTGCACTAGTAATCGTTGTAACTAATGGTTTCTTGTAGGAGCTGCAGCTAGAAACCATACGTCATCTTTTAGATTTAAATCGGCAATTTCATACTGTAATTCCCAAATTAACTGTAATATCTAACACATCCTTAAAATTACAATAAATAATATGCTATAGTTTTGGACTCGGAGGAAAGTTAGAAAGATACTTAAAAGTCATAAAATTATAAGTTCCAAACAAGTTGAAAGTTGAAAAACTCAAGACACTTCTTTTTGAATTCAGATGAGATTTCATTGCCCATATTTTACTAGCCCCATTTCACATATAAACTAATTTTCAAGACTATTTTAGTTTTTTTCAAAATAATTTTTTTTTATTTTGGTATTTTTAGGGGAGACTAATTTAATATCTAATTTTCAGATTTGCAGTGAGACTGCTTATCCATTCCCATGACTTTTTATGTGACCTCCTTTTTTAATATACCATTTCAAATAAAAACTAAATAATTTGAAAGAAAATAAATAGCCTTCTATAATAAAGCCTATAATTTTCAAAGAATTATCCATTAACTCCTTATATTCAAGGAATTAGACCTTTTATCATCAGCTCAACAGCATGAGATAATTACCTAAATTAGAGATGCTACCATTAATAGTTAAAAATATATTATTTATTCTAATTACTTAATACGAATAATTATGTTCACATATTATATATATAAATCTATGTAGGTAAGTAGGATTTTAAACAATAAAAAAACATAAATAAATTTAAGGGAATGTAAAACACATTAAATGACCCGATAAAGATGGGTTGCCCTCCCATTATCAGATTCTGACCTGCTGCAAATGGATATGAAATACCATTGTAAACCATTTCACATATCAGCCCAGACGTGTCTGAGTAGGTAATAATAATTAAATGAAAAAAGATTTTTAATTCCAAAACATTTTAAATACTCTTGATTTAAATGTTGGTTGAGAAAAGTAAAACATTGCAAGCGAAGTGAAAAGTAAGACTAAAATACAGCGGCGCGAAAATCCCATTAAAATTCCCTTTCTATTGACGGGCGCAAAACTGCCTCTTATTAATTAGCCTCTAATTAAAAATTTACTATTATAGTTTTTAAATAGAAAAATCTTTAGTTAAAAAGTCTCAACCGTTACATCAATAGATGCCCAAGCTATGTCACAAACAAATTGTTTTTCCAATAAAATAATTTTCTTACGCAGGAGGATGTACTTAGTACATTTACCTCTATGCGTGTTTAAATTGTTACTTTTTTTATACTATCAAATATAATATAATTTTACTAAATTTTAAGTAACGTTACTTATTTTATTTATATTGCTCTATCGCACCGACTTTAGAACAAAAGATACGTGGTTTCCGATGTCCGCCCGCCCAACACCATTAATGTTATATTTGTTAATCAGTTATTAAATATTAACTACTACATTCTTATCAACTTTGTATGTTTATACAAATATTACAAATAACTATAACAATGTGATCTGAAATATTATAAAAGCATTCCAAAGTTTGAAGTTAAAAAAGTCAAAGTTCTTATTGACAGACTTACCCGCCAAATCCATTCCGAGAAAGCCGCCCTTTTGAGTATTAATTAAATTGTTCAGTATATTCATATTCGATAACACTACTATAACAATAACCACTCAACACTTAATTATCTACAGTCATGAACTATATATTAAATAAAAAAAAAAATCAGAGTATGTTCCGACCGACACGGGCTCGTTACAACGAATGAGTCCCGTTAGACGAAATCTCTGCTACGGTGGAAAAATAATAAGTATAAGTCTTTTTGTTGCGTACTAAGCATTGAAGGTTAACTCCCTAAGAAGGGTCCGGCGCGCCCGTGAGCAGATGCAGGGGTCTCGCGCGTGGGAAACGGGGGCGGCTCGTGACCCCACACAGCTGCTTCTAGCTTCTTCGCGTCTTGTCCACCTTCACACCGTGACTGTCTTCACACGTCTTATTGTTTCTTTTTAAGTTATCATTTCGATAATTCGAGACGATCCAATTCGCACCAATGAAATAGGATAAATTACGTTGTAAGGTAGTGCATTAATATTTTCACACTTTAGTTAGTCTTCTCTATATCTATTATAAATACCTACTCGATCATAGATTTAATACCTAAAATACTTTTCTTCTACATTTTCTACGAGTGTATGTACTTACGTACCTAAAAGTTTAGGATAATTACAAAATTTTTTTGACAAGTAAATTGATTTTATGAATTTTTAAGTAGTATAAGAACATTTAGCGACAAGTAATAATTGCAAGGGTCCCTAGTTTGAGATAAGCATTAATTTATTACACTACAATCATACTACAACAATCTTTACTACAATTAGAATTCTTATTTACTACGAACTACGATTTAGGTAGTTACGTAGATTTCAAGCACAAAATTCGTAGGTAATCAAATTAGAGGGCCTACTCTACGAACGAAATTTGGGAAAATGTCGGAACGTTCTTATAATTTCGTTAAAATCGTATCTGTTAAGAGTAGCAGTAGTCAGATCCTGTCTCCGTTGCATCATAAATTATGGAATAATGCGTTTCTTTGGAGTTATAGTAAACGTTTCAAAAATAGACTAAAGTATAGGTCTTCAGTTTCACGTCATCACATGAATTAACAAATGATTTACCTAAACAACGTAGCCAAGTGGTTCACACGCCGGTTTCAAGGTGTCGCCATTTCTAAGTTCCCGGGTTCGATTAATCCCGGTTGAGTCAATGTAAAAAAAAGACTTTTCTATACTGTCGCGACTGTTGTGCGGTGCCTTCATTGTCTCAGATACTGGACAATATAAGGCTTTAGCTACATATTTTGGAATCTGAGCAATGTATGTGATGTTGTCTAATATTAATTTATATTAGGTTGGGGAAAAAGTCTTCTCGCATGTAGTATGGATAAACTTGTAATAAAATCTTTAATAAAATCTTTTAACCGATAACTTTTAGTTGCTTAAACCATTTGTAACCAGCCAGTTACAAATGGTTTAAGCAAATCATTTGTAACTGGCTGGTTTCGATATCACGAACATTGACATTGTCTTAAGGAAAAAATCAGTATCTTTTTGAATTTTCTTTTACGTCTGTATTTATCTCTTTTAAAACGTATTAAGATATATCTCAAAATATTTAAAAAAAACCTACGTAAAATCGAACTTTAGAAGGTAGGGAAGACCAAATCAAATCCCTCTAATTAAATAGGTTTCATCTATACATATAAATAAAAGGATTTGTTCTGACGTACTGACTGACAGATAACGCATAGCCTAAACGGCTGGTAACAGAGAATTGAAATTTGGAGGGGACATCCCTCGTATTACGTAGAGTACACCTCTACGTAAGAAGTGTCCACGAATATTTAAAAGAAGGGGGTTAAAAGGATTGAATACGTTTGTATGAAACTTCTTTGTTTTTGACAAAGAAAGCATTTTATGCTTTGCTAGACTAGATGGCGTACATTTTCAACTCAACTGAACTTTCTTCAATGTTTTGGGTTGAAAGAATTTCCGATAAAATTTGTGTAATTTGATCCACGTTTTTCTTTCGGTCTGTATTTACAAATTAGATAAATAGTTTTAGAGTTTGTAAAGTGCTGAACACAAATTAGACATTAGTCAGTGTAGGGGGAGTCCGGGAGACTTGCCCAGATGGGAGAGTTGAACCACTTCTCAAAATTCAACGTAAATTGCAAGATAACGAAGCATTAACACGTTGCTTAACAACAATGATCGCGTGTCGCGGCGTTTATCCACTACGCCACCGAGCTACTCTACCGACCTTCCTATATCCATTTGGGCATAAAACAGTTTTTTTTTAACTCAACGGAAAAGAACTTTCTTGCAATTATAGAGATTGCGAATAGTGAATAGCTGCCTTCAGCAGGAGTAGCCTACGAGTATACCAATTATAATGCGAATAACAAAAAAGAATTTCGATGTCCATTGTTAGATTTTTTTTATAAGAATTCTAATAATAAGTTATAATAATAACATACTTTATATGAAAAATACGCCATCAACATACATTAGTTTCAATAGTACACTTGAAAGTCAAGAACTCCTTATTAAGCATTGCCTTCCCTCCCATATACATTGTTTACGGTGGAAAATTCGTATTTAATGATTACGAAGAAATCTTATATATATATATATATCTTATTTTTTTTAGTAAAAAGCTGTGTACAACTTTTGTGATCTATTTTATTTTAAGACTTGTATCGGGACCGGACTAAAAATACAGTTTCCGAGTAATATTCATATAATGTACAGATTACGTGGAGTTAGAGTTTACCAAGAAGTTTAATTTTTAATTTTCTTGGTAGAGACTAACAACAAAAAACAAGTAAACTACAAAAATAAGTAATCAATATTCGTTTTAAAAATATAATTTTAAAAAATCTAAAGAAGGTTGGTCGTCAATAACATGTTTCTACTACCCGTGCTCGCGTGATTAATCTATATCTATACTAATATTATAA